CAGACAGACGGCTAGCTTGAGACAGACAGACAGACAGCTAAACAGAGAGGTAGAAGGACAGCTAGACAGACACACAACTACAGACAAACAATAGATAGACAGAAGCTAAACAGAGAGATAGAAGGACAGCTAGAGAGACACACAACTACAGACAAACAATAGATAGACAGATAAAGGTAGATAGATAACAAGAGACAAACTGTTACTGTAGCTTGACATACAATGAAAAGACAGCCAGAGACAGACAGGCAGACAGACAGCTACACTGAGACAGACGGACAGCTCAACAGAGACAGACAGATAAACATAAATAGATAACAAGAGAGAGACAGACAGTTACTGCAGCTTGACATACAATGAAAAGAGACAGCCAGACAGACAGACAGATATAAATAGAGAGAAAGACAGAGAGAGCGAGACAGATCGGAAGACGGCCGGAGACAGACAGACAGATATGCTGAGTCGCATATCCAGTTGATGACCACTGTGTTCCTTTGTACCTGTCTCTCCAGCGTTGCTTGCTCTCCTGCTGCTCCTGCTCTCCACGAATCGGGTGTCCTCCAACAGGACTCGTCAGTGTCCCGAGTCCCTCCAACGGCTTTTGAGGCTGACCAGACTGGCGCAGAAGGAATCTACGGACCTTGTCAAAACTTATGTGAGTCTGGACTCTCCCGGGAGTTTCTTGTGGTCACACCCTTGAGCATGGGTTTTAAATTTTTCCAACTGTGTCTCTCTCACTCCAGAAAGCCTCCCAGGGGGAAATGTCGGATGTCTTCTGTCGGGCGTCCCTACAGGACATTCCCGAGCCCGGTATCTCCGGCCTGGAGCCTTCCGAGCGGATGGAGAGCATCCTGGACCACCTGCAGGCATTCCTCCCCCACCTGAGGCGCATCTACGAGCAGCAGAAAGATCTCCAAGCCCCCGATAGTCTGGTTCTGGTCCAGCTGGGCCATGTGAGCCAACGCGGCCGGGACTTGGGAGCGCTGGTGCGGGCCTTCTTCTGGAAGACCTTCCCCAACCTTCAGGAACCGGCCGAGGGGCCCACGGTCCTGGAACCACCGGCCCAGAACATCTTCCAGCAGAAGGTCTACGGATGCGTGGTGGTCAAGACCTACAAGGAGTTCCTGAGCAACGTGGCCCGAGAATTCAGGAGCCTCAGGGGCAAAGTGTGCAGAGGGAGGAGGCGCTTCAGATCCATGTGACACCAGGAAGACTTCAGAGGGACTAACTTGACATCAGGCCTATTTATAATATTTATATTTAATATTTATTACACAAATGGTGAGAAACGTGCCATATTTTTGCATTGGGATGAGGAAATGGACTTCTTGAAACATGGATGTACTAACGTGACCCAGCAGCTCAATAAAAAATAAGGGAAAAAAATGAAGAGCTCACTTTGTTCATTTTATGATATCATGACTGCTATTTACAAGGGCCGGTGGTCGACTGGTTAGCGAGTCAGCCTCACAGTGCAGAGATACCGGGTTTGATTCCAGCTCTGGCCTTCCTGTGTGGAGTTTGCATGTTCTCCCCATGCCTGCGTGGGTTTTCTCCGGGTACTCCGGTTTCTTCCCACATTCCAAAAAACATGCATGGCAGACTGATTGAACACTCAAGATTGTTCCTAGATGTGAGCGCGGATGGTTGTTCGTCTGTGTGTGCGCTGCGATTGGCTGGCAACAGGTTCAGGGTGTCCCCCGCCTACTGCCCGAAGACGGCTGGGAAAGGCTCCAGCACGCCCCGCGACCCTTATGAGGATAAAGCGGATCAGAAAATGGATGGTTGAATGGATGCTTTTTAAAACTTTTAGGTTTTAAAACCTTCTAAGGGTTTTGTCACTTTGTTACGTCAATTGAGATGGCTGAATCGATGCTTTTTAAAACTGCTGAGTTAAAAAACAAAAAACAAAACCCTTCTAAGGGTTTTGTCACTTTGTTACGTCAATTGCGGGTTGTTCAAGCCTTCCCTTATGGCAACAGCAGGTGGTCGCTTGAGTGGATCACTCATTGGTCAGTCTCTTGGGCCAGACAATAACTGCTAGTCATGGCCTTTCAATTACATTGACTGCTCGTTGTTGTTCACTTTTTGAGCCTCAGATTCCATCAGTCATTGGTCCCTTTGCTAGGTTCGAAACTTACGCTAGTCATTGTGTGATTTATTAGGACAGACACTGACTGCGAGTCACTGGTCACTTTATTAGGCTAGTCTGCTTGCATTATATTCGGTCGGTCACTGGTCGCTTTATTCCAGGGGTGACAAACTAATTTTTGTCGCGGGCCACTTTTGAGTTACGTCTTCCCTCAGAGGGCCGTTATGACAGTGAAACCACAGCAAATGTTTAATCGCACCTATCGCATTATTACTTTAAGGGTAACAAAGTTATTGCAAAATCTCAACGTCATTTCTTACACATCCCAATTTGATATTTCAGTGCATTTTTTTTTTCCGCAAGGATCATGCAAGTTGACACACATGATTTTCTTTCGGGGGGCTACATAAAATGATGTGGCGGGCCACATCTGGCCCTCGGACCTTGAGTTTGACACCCGTGCTTTATTCGGTTGGGCACTTTCAGCATGCTAGTCATTGGTTGCTTTTTTTTTTTTCTTGGTCAGACTCTTACTGCTGGTCACTAGTCGCTTTCTTAGGTCAGTCAGTGGTCACGTTCTATCGTGATAGTAAGTCATTGCTGGCTTTATTAGGTCTGACACTGACTGCCGGTCACTGGTCACTTTATTTAGTAAAACATTGAGTTGTTGTCACCGTTCGCTTTATGAGGTCAGAGAGTGGCTGTTTGTCACTTGTACTTATTAATATGATCGTTATTATGATGTGAACGTGGCCCAAATGGATTCGAGTGAGCCGGCAGCCGAATAAAAATCCGCAAAGAAGAATCTTTGTTGTGTCGGAGGCGTCATGCGTTGCACCTGACCTTGTCCAAAAGAAAATCAGGAAGCATCCCGAGACATCTGACTGCATGGCGACACGCGTGGCACACAAGGAAGCGCGTCTGAGAGCTCGCTCACTGCCGTCGAGACGCGACGCGACGTCTCGCCGCTATTTGAGAGGAATCAGACAAATGATTGCGCATGCGTCAGGGGACACTTGATTAGGTATAGCAACTGTGGTTGGCCATCTCTGATGTAGGTCATAGATTGTTGGCATGACATAAGAGGGCCCGGGCAGGCTCTTTTCAGATCACAAGCTGTCTGGAAACTGGAAGTCGGCTGAATCAAGTTCCCTTTAAGAACCGCTGGGTGTTATTTAAAGATACAAAAGCTAAAGGAGACAAGAGTCAGTTTCAGCTTCTCACTTGTATCTGGAGAAAAGAAGCACAAAAATAGAAAATAGAAAATGCAATTTCTGTTCAAACGAATGCCAAGCATTTAAAAAAAAAAAAATCTTCAAGTACTGTACTACCCCAATGATCAATATTAAAATACTGTTGCGTGTTAATGACAAATAGAACAAAGGTTTTAAATATGAATTAAAATGGAATTTACTGCACATAAATGGAATAAATACAAGACCAAACACTTCTTTATGATTACTATAAGTGCAAATGAATGAGACTTTAAAGTTAAATACAACTGACCTGTACTTAAGCGCTGACTCATTAGCAAATAGAGAATGACCTCAAATATAGGAAGTGTCGAGGACAAGATTTTGAAAATTGCACACATGTATATTGTGGAGGAAAAGATATCCATTAATTTGATAATTTTCCCTGAGCGGAATTCGTAAAAAGAAGTATTTTTAATGAACATTTTGACATAAGAATGGTTTGAATTGCTTTAGAAATTGTGAATCTGCGGTTATAATTTTTCTTGATGGAAAATGTGGATCAAATCTCACCAACAAATTGGGAATTTTCTCATGGAAAATGTGGATTTTTTTCAAGATTTTTTTTTTTTAATGTTGAATATTTTGAAGTTAGAATGCTTGAATTGGTTTAGGCACTGTCAATCTGAGGCCAATTTTTCTTGATAGAAACCTCACGATCGAAGTGTTTTCCCAAAGTAGGATTTTTTTTTTTTTTAATGCTTAACATTTCGAAGTTAGCAGAGTTTGAATTGGTCGAGAAATTTGTCGATTTGTAAAATGTATCAAATATATTTGGGAATTTTATCTTTAATTTATTTTTTTTAAGGAATGTTGCAATTTTTTAAGTTAAATACTTTAAATCGCTTCAGAAATGAATTAATGAGCGAATGTTCGATTTAAGGTGACTTTTCCAAATCTCCCCATCAATTCTACAGTAGCATTTTTTTTTAATGGTTCTTGCACTCCAGGTGTTACCAATGATTTGCATGTGCATTTAATGTTTATTTCCAGCAGAGGGCGGCAGAGAACAAGTCCTCTCCGACACAGGAGGCGATTCGGTTCCCATTCATGTGACGAAAGTATTTCAGTCGTGAGGGTTTCGAATCAGGGTTAGGATTTTAAATCCAGGTCTTGTTTTTTTTTTGTGTGTGTGTGTGGGGCTGATGAAGATATTTAAAGCTTTGGTGAGCCCTTCCAAGTTTCCCTTGTGCTTGCTTGCTTCCTTCCATACAACTCAGTCTTTCCTCTCTTCCTTTCATACACCCCATGTTCATTTCTTCCATGCTACCCGCCTTGTGTCTCTTCCTATTCAAACATTCTTTACTTCCTTTCCTCCATACCTCCCCACTTCTTTTCTTCCATCCTTCTCTTTCCTTTGATCGCATCCATTGCTCCTCTCTCCCATCCTTCTTTCCTTGAACCCTTTCTTTCAAACCATCCTTGTTTCTTTCCCTCAACCCCCCCGCTGTTCCTGAAATAATTTAAAAAGTGGAGACCCGTTTTTGAACAACGTGAGCAATTTACATAATAATCACATGACCACGGCTAATGAGATAATAATGAGGTGAAGCACAATTAAGCAACTGAAAAAAATAAGCAAAAAAAAAAAAAGTTCACCAAAAAAGAAAAAAAACCCACTTTGCTGCGATGTATGTATTGATCAGAAACACAACTTATCTTGAAAGTGTATTTTATTGTGGAAAAATTGTTACATGCGCCAAGTGGATTTAAGTGCTGAAAGCTGTTTTAGCAGCCACAATATTAGGGACACCCACATGATCTTTTTCCGATTCAAATAATTGTTTTTTATTTTTTTGAGAAACAAAACACAATAAACAATATTATTTTATACAGTTCATATTGGATATGATTAGCGTGTGCCGCTGTACCTAATGTTGTGGCCACTGAGTGTCCTTTGAAGACAAGCATGTAATCCCTGAAGAGAATAATTAATGGATCCCATTAACAGTCTTAATTCTTTATCGTTTTGTAATTTGCATATAAACATAACACGCACATTAGTGGATTATTGTTTTAAGAGGCTGATCCACCCTCCTACTACTGACACCACGACAATGTGAGAATACACATATTTGGTATGAATTTGCATAGTCGTTCAAATGCAGTTAAGAGTATACATTGAAATCGTGCGATTTGTCGCCGATTTTGAGCAAGTTTTTTTCTTCCCCCCATAGAATACTTTTTTCATCCCATTCAATGAATGGGTTTAAAAAAAAAAAAATGATTTGCAGCTGTTATCAGTGATCACTAAGTGTCCGCCATCCGCAATTTCTACATTATTGTAACTGTAACTTCGACTGTGGAACGTATCCCGCAATGAACAGAGGTTCACTGTATACATGTGTTTTTATGAAAACAACAAACCATTTTTATGATTCTCGTTCTCCTCATTCAGACGTTAGTAGCAAACAGTGGACGGATTCATATTCAAAAAACGAACGTTCATCTTGGCTTCAATCTCGAAGCTGTTCAGCAGCTGATAAAAGAACACAAACAACCAGATATTAATAATAAAGTTGTTGTTAAGATTATTGGAGACTTAACATCGCTCAGTAAGTCACTGTACTTTTGTGATTGTTCGCAATATTGTATTTTTTTCAGTAGCACTCGAGTGAGGCATTTTTAACATACTAAGCCAATAAAGATGATTCTGATTGTTATGTTGAAGTTATTGTTATGACAGAATCACGGCAGGCACCCACCTTGAGGAAGTGCTCGAACGTGATGCCCTCGTAGAACTCGTCAGGCTCCTGCGAGTAGCAAGTGGAAAATTGATGACCACATAAGGCGTGTCACAACTAGCGCAACGAGTCCTGAATGTACCATGTGACCCATGGTTATGCCCGCCACCTCCAGCATGGCAGCGTCCGCGATGCTGACGGCCATTTCCTTGCTGATGTGCACGCTGCGAGATAGGAGCTCCTCCACCACCTGCCCACACATAGAGAATATTTTATTCACATTCAAGAGACACACTAAGGACGTAGCAAAGAAAGCTTGCTTTTTCTTTGGCTTTTTGGAGACTTTTTGAAAAGATGGAACAAGACATGAGTGATTATTAATTATTTAAAATTCTTAAAAAGGACTCAGGACAGATCGTCAAGTATCGATTTGTGAAAAAAATATTGAAATGAACCATCTATGGACATATGGGGTTCCTGCCTAACAGCAAGCATAAAGGGTGTTGTTCTCTTATTCAGAACTGGTGCTATGAAAAACACACTTGGGCTGACTCACATGTCTGTACTCCGCCAGGGTTATGGTTCCATCATTGTCCGAGTCGTGCATGTTGAATAAAACTGCCCACAAAAAGACACAACAGGCAATTTATACATATTAAAAAAAAAAAAAAAAAAAGCATTGAAAAATCCAAAGAAAACAGTCAGCCTACATCTCAGCTTCTCTCTGCGGACGCTGTCACGCTCCTCATCTGTCATGCTGAGCGACGGTGGCTTGAAGTGGGACATGACCACCACAAACTCCTCCAGGTGGATCTCCTCCAGCGAGCCCTCTTCGGGTGGGATTAGGTTCCTGTAAAAATTTGGAGGGGAGGTGGTGGGGGGGGGGGGGGGGGGGGGGGGGGGTTAGCTGAACAACACATATTTATGCATGTGTGATAAGGAATCACGGCCTGGCACCTCCTGTCAAAGAAAGCCTCAATGATCTGCGCTCGGATGGGATTCCAGGCGAGGTCGTGGATGGCGTAGAAGTGTTCTCTCCTGTAGTAGACAACACACAGACACACATAAAAGAAAAATATTGAGCGTCAGTCGGCGTTTCCAACAAGGCCTTGCTACTGTCACTGAGACGCTCAGTGACAGCTGCAGCCCGTTGGACAGGTTTCGAACTTCCATCTACGGATCGCATAAAAGAATTCAAAGTACCGCAGGGTGTCTTCATTGTGGCTCAAGTGCTTGAATCTATTGTGGAGAACCCCAATCTGCTCATAGGTGACTGCAAACACCAAAGCACATCGTTGAGATCCCTATATAGATCTGTGTTGAGAAAACAAAACAAAACACTTCATCCCCCAATAAATTTGTGTGTGTGTGTGTGTGTGTGTGTGTGTGTGTGTGTGTGTGTGTGTGTGTGTGTGTGTGTGCGCGCTTCTGCGTGTTATACTACCCCCTGGTGGCGAAGGCGCACAAACCTGAAGGAGCCGCACAACGAATGAAAGCATGAAATATGAAATGATGAGGCACAAGGCAACCCTGTACATAATATAGAAGTTAATTTCTGTTGTGTCTTATGTTTCATTGAATGCAGCAGAATATTACATTATTTACAAGTAAACCCGAGCTGGCACATCCCGATATGACTCCCACGCACAGAAGCACACACTCACTGGATGCTTCATTCGGTAAGCTTGCACACCTAAATAAGATACCCCCACTCTAAATACACCGAAGAAATAATGTTTACGGTATTTATTTGTTTATTTTTAAACAATAGACAATAGTTGCAAATTTTTAACCACCAAAAACTATTACATTTGTGGAACCTCGTGGAACAAACCAAACATATCGTAGAAATAAATGGAGAAAAAGATACAAAACTAAAAGAATATACAGTATTAAAAATATTAACCAATATCATAGCATATTTAATTCAATTATATTTGGCGAAGAATTACGTTGCATCACAGTGAAACCTGTTTCTAATATTTTGACTCGGCATGGTTCTCTCTTTTTAACCTCATTACTTTGTGCGGCTGTACCTAATTAAGTGGCTCGCGGGTGTAAGGGTAACATTGCACAATTCCACAAACTACTCCAAAGTCAGAATTTAGTGTCGCAAGCACCCAAAATACTCACAGCCTGTCTTTTCCGCCAGTTGTCTGTACTCGGGAGGACCAGATAGTGACTGCCAAATGCCCATCTCTTTCACAGACTATGTATTAAAATAATGTTAAAAATTTTTAAAAGTCCAAAAGGACATGTGGTACTGGTCGTATTCGTGGTGGTAGACGCCTCGTCAGCAATCTTGAAGCCTAACTTCGAGGGAACATGTTTGTTTCGCACTCGCGTTCACCTAACTGTGTTGAGACAAACACGACAGGCTTCATCCCGAGAAGAGCAAGCATTACTTCCGCAATCAATACACATGACGTCACACGTCAGTGCACTCCAACTTCAACAGTTAAAATCGTTTTTGTTTTATTCATCTATATTTATAGGCAAGTCATATGAGTATAGTAAAGCATCTATACCTTTTATCTCTCGATCTCTTTTAATTTTAAATGACTGTTGGAGTTTTGTTTTTTGTTTTTGGTCGTTTGTTCCCCGTATGTTGTTTTGGACGGCGTAGTAATGAGCCGATTAGAAACAGGTGTGCCCAGTAGTGGTAGAAAGACTCCCGATTGGCTGACAACCCGGAAAAAGGGAAATGAGGAAGGTGTTTTGAGCCGGAATGAGACGACAATGGGCGAAGAGGAAATAAGATAAGATAAGCGAAACTACTGTTTGTATGCTTCCATCTTGTTTTGTTCTTATTTCACACATGCCTGACCTTTTGCTCAGTAGATTACAGAGCGAGTGAAAGCCCCAAATACCATACAAAACTAACGTCAAATATTAACAAGGTAACTGGATGGTGTGCACAATCACATCACAATACAGGTACGGTGCTGCACTATAAAATGGCTGCTGTTATTCTTATGGGATATTGGGGGGAGTAATCATTCGCAGCCGGTGTGTTACGAGAACTCGTCCAATTCACTTAATTAAATGCTCTTTCACAAGATGGAAGTAGGTTCTGTACATCCATAATTTGTGTATCGATTTGTTGATATTCATACAACAGATTACACCAAGAGTAAGTAAATGTGTGATGAATTGAAATAAGATCATTATCATTGACGCCCCTGCTGAGCAGAGAGATGACATTACATGGCTGTTTCCTGTATTCTGTGTGTGTGTTCAAGTTGCAGTTGGTTGAGGGTAAATTATTATCATAACCTCGATGTCACTCTCCTTCCCTGTAGAGTGCACTTGGTTCTTGCAGGTTGGGGAAACATTTGTGCATACAGGATCTGTGTGTGTGTAAATCATGCAACCCAATCTGCGCGCCCGTGTGTAAATCATGCAACCCAATCTGCTGCTCTTGGCCCTGCGGTAAAATACCTTCTGTGAACTGGGTGTGGACTTGAACGCGCCATCCTGTCACTTTGTAACAGGTTCCAACAATGTCCGCATGTAAAAAAAAAAAAAAAAAAAATTAAAAAAAAGCAAAACAAAGAACCAGGGATCAAGCGTAGTCAAGTGAGGACTTGTTGGGTGCATGCCACAAGATGGTAGTATTCCACCAAGCAGTCCACACAAGTGCCAGTTCCAGTCGGTTGCTTTTGAGCTGAGGTCAGAGAGCGCTATTGTGGTCAAGGTTGTATACTTTGATTGTGTTGACTAGTAATTTTGTCGCAAAGGTATGTTTTGGTGATAAAATCCAGTCTTTGTTGTGGTTGATGTTACTGCTCGTGATGCATTGTATTTGAAAACTAATATCGCAATGCATAGAATATTTTTGCTTTTTGGGTGGGGGTGCCGCTTCCTCATCTGATCACTGACTCATTGCCTGATCTCGCCCCCCCCCCCCCCCCCTTCTTCCCCTGGCTACAGCCTGATGTAAGTCTCTCCAGCGCTGCATTGATCCTCATTTGCCAACCCCCATCTGCCCTTAAACTTCCTGCCTTGCCAGTCTCCCAGGACTCCACTCACTCTCCGTGGCCGTTTGGTGATCTGTTACAACCAATGACAACAAAGTGTGAGTTTGTTTTTTTTTCCCCATCCCATCCTGCTGTGGATTTCAGAGCATTACACGATCTGGCTCCAAACCCTTTCCCAATCTCCAGAGGCTCTTTATCTGGAGTTTGACGTTAAATGCGTTGCTGAACTTGTCGCATCAATTAAAAAAATCAATTCCACCTATTGCTGTTGTCCAGTGTACTGCAATTCAGTTTGACGAGGCAGTCTGCCTCTCATGCCGCATTAAAATGAATGCTCTTGTTCAATTCTGTCCAATGCCATGTTGAATAGGTTGAAAGAATTAAGAATAGTCTTATGTTAAAGAGTGATCTCAATAAGAACGTACTAATTATTGCGAAAGGTGTACTCCAATCTTATATTTGTTAAGCATAAAGTGCTTTTCGCTAACAATCACAAAGCATTAAGTAGGATAATTACATTTGTTTCAGCTAAAAGTGAGTGAATTATTTCATCAAAAAAAGCATTTTACATTTTCATTTCTTTCTTCAACTAACTTCAAATTAAACGGAAAGCCTTAAAGCACAACTGTTTGGCTACCCCTGGGATGGCATGTAGCCTACAACATATTGATGGCTTTATGTTTAACAAATGCTCAGTCGCCACTAAATTAGTATTCTGTACAATGGATTAAATTTAATGAAGCATTCAACTGGAGCCGGGAAAGCTACAAACAAACTTCTTTACTCTAGCTTTGTCTTTCTCATCATATGGGTTTATTTTTGTTGAGAGAGTGTAACCAATCAAATCCTAGAAGGCAGATTGCTTCACAGCTGTTTTGCAGTGCTGCCAAACGCTTGTAACGATCACAGCCTCAGCCTTCGCCACCTCCGCCGCAGACTTCGCCGCCGCCGCCCTCGCCGCCACCGCCCTCAACCAGCAGCTGTCACTCGTGGTGGTGAATCGGGAACTGTGACGGTGTCATTGGCATTCCAGAACTGATATACCGCCACTGATTATAGCTTGATGTCTTACTTGGAGTAGTGTGGACCGTTGTACTGTCTTCATCGAAATTTGAATTGCAGGTAAATGGCCTTGGAACGTGGCCGCTGTAAAGGCCAATCAACGTAGTATCAAGTGATGTTTCACAAGAAAGAGTGAGTTTCCCACTCACCCGAGCGAGATCCATTTCAATTGTCCCATTTGGCCGTGTCGCTCGGTGTGCGGCTGGCCTTGGCGGTGTGCGTAACCGACACAAAAAGAAATGAGCTGTCTACGGCAAGAACAACAGGCAATTGTGAAGCTGACTGAAGACATGCTTGGATGCTGAAATTCAGATTGAGGTTTTGCCCCGCGAAAAACGCCATTTATACCAGTCACAGGTGAAACGAACATGTGAGCATCTATTATCTACATATATATCTATATATGTATTTTATTTTTTTCTGCCTTGAATTGCGAGATGAGGAAAACGCCACCATAGCAAGGATTGATGCAATTGCTTCTATACCATCAATCTCTCCTCAAAAAGGAAAACACAACAACCCCCCCCCACCCCACCCCCATCTCTACGAGTCAATGTCCTTGATGCGTTCTCCCCGCGCGATACCGCAATGACCTTAGCGCGTTTTGTCTGACGGCAGCGCGTACGTGAGCACGCGGCACTGGGGCGGCTGTGGAATTGATTTGAATAAAGACGGCATGGAGAAAATGATGTTTGCGCCTCGAAATGGGAGAAGGGGTGGTCAAGGAGAGAGGGCAGCTGGTGCCTGCTTGGCATGCGCAAGGGGGGCTTCTAAGGGGAGGCCGAGAAGTTGACAGGGCGCCGCACTACTGCCTTGGACGACATCTGCTCACAGAGAAGAAGAGAAGATGAAGAAAAGATGTCCTGAGGGTGCTGAGCCTTTTTGCTTCTCCTCCCTTGCTTTCTGCTTCACTGAGCAGCGGCCAGCTCGAAGCATGTCCGACACATTCTGACATCCTTTACACAAGCATGCAAACAAAACCACTGGGCACAACACAACCGTATGGACAATTACCACTCGGCTACCACGGTGAACCCTCAGGCGCAAGGTCCCGATGTAATTAACGGCAGGTTTGCCGTTTCCTCAGTCCAAACAGTGTCTTCAATCCTAGAATGTTTCTTTTTGTGACACTTAAACGTATCAAGAAAAATGAGACTCAGGAAGGGCTTTTAATGGCAACGTTAGAATTGATTTACGTATGTACAGTATAACGAGAGGCTATATCATATCACTTTAAAGTAACCAGGTAAGGAAGACTTGTTGCGCACTTCTCCAAATAAAATCCCCAATCGTGCTTGCTTCAAGCTGTTAATTTGTCACCGCCCTAATAGTCAAATAAAACCCTATTTTTGTGTCAAGTAATCACGATTCATAAACATGATTTGTCATGGTGTTAAAAACCTTCGATTTATTCAACAAATAAAATGTTCCAAGTTTAATTATAACTTGAAAGAACAATCCGACACATCTCCGCACAGTAATCGTTTTTCTGTGATTATAATCAGAATCGAAATAGCTTTGTTGTTATTGTCCCGCAGGGTGCAATGAAATGGAACAGATACAACCTGTCCGAGAAAGAGAAAAACCATGAACACAAGGGGGATATAGAATAATAATACGCTGGGTCGCTTACAGCGCCCCGTGTTTGCAGTTGAAAACATAAGAGGTGGGGAGGGGGTGGAGGAAATCAAAACAACCCTGGACTGACCTCCTGTGAAGGGGTGTACGGTGCGGATTTCGTGGGTGGTGGGGGTGAAGTCAGCAAACAGGACACACAATTGGGGTGGGTGGGAGTGTTTTGCCGCAACATTACAGTCCAACCTGCAGGGGGCAGTCTTCACAGCCGACAGCACCGCCACCACTTCCCATTCTGCAGGTGCACCATAATAGGATCGACGGTGACGTGTATTGCATTTGTGTGATCACACGAGTGTGTATGCATGAGTCTCTCTAATACGATCATCATCGTGAGGAGCTCAAAACCGAAATCAGGATTTACTTTCAATCAATTGCCCAAACCCCGGTTGTGCCTAATGAAGTGTCCAGCGAGTGCATCTTCATGCCCTCGCGAGCCGCAGGTGGACCACATGGTGTTTGGCCTCTGCCATGAAGAGTTGCGCGTCTGTCTCCGCCGGCAAGGAAAAACACTCATAAATCAGCCGCTCGAAGACGAGGGAAGCGCTCGTGAAGAAGAATCACGGCCCATTTAATGGCAATAAAACGCCGCTTCCTCCTTTGTGCGCCGCGCTGACAGGAAAGTTGAGCCTTTGTGTGCAATTATTCATTGGGAGTGCCGTATGATCTGCCTTCACCGTAACTTGTGTGACAAGTGACGCCTTTTTAATGCCGCTCTCCCTTTGTTGGATGTGACAAGGCTTGTGTTTTTAAAGCCAAGGAGAAGCGTCGGTATGCCACTTTTTTCTCTCTTTGCCCGTTAAAACTTGAGTTGCGCTAATTAAGCCGAGTGTGGGTATTTATGAATTGGTCGTTCGCTCGTTACAAGCCCTAATGGAGGCATTTGTGTCATTGCACTGGGCTAAGGTGATAATCTTAATGACTGGCACTTTTTTGGCGGTGACCCCCTTTCTCAAATAAAGGTTGAAGCACGAAAAGTAGTTCTTGCCCAAATCTGATCTGTGCTCTGCATCAGTGAGCGTATTATGTAACGTATCGGGATGACATCTCTATTTGTTGCCCTTGGCGTGTCGCACGGGCCATGTAGGCCACAGCGAGGACCAAAACTGAGCGCGGAAGATAGTTTGCAGTACATCACGTGATGATAGTCATAAACCGTCAGTCCAGTGGGTGTTTTTGAGCAGAAGCCTGGAGAGCTGTTCGTAATTCACTGTGTCTAAAGCGGCAAATAAAGTTCAGATGTTCTAGTCGGCTTTTTGATTTCCGAAGAGAAGTCTGAGGTTTTCGTGCTGACAGCTATTTGGAACTGTTCGCAATTCGTTCCACCATGTCTAAAGACCGAAATAAAGTTCAGCTGTTCTAGTAGGTTACCGAACTAAGGCTGAAAATAATCTTCAGATTTTCTATTAGGCTTTTCCAGACTTTTTGTTTGTTTTCCTGTCGAACTCTGAAGGCTTAATGCTAATGCTGACTACTATTGGAACTGTTCATAATTCCCTCCACGTTGTTCACGGCCCCAGGTCCAGTCAATGCCACCGCTTTGCTTCGCTCTACAGTAGTTATGGTGATCTAACAGTGATGAGTAGCTTTGTGTTTGCACCAAACATATCAAAAACCTGAACCTCGGTTTCATCAGACCCGAACAAAATCTCGAAAACACATTTTGATAAATGTGTTTGGATAATAAATGAGTTTGACCAAAGAACGTCAGGTTGTAATTGTTAGTCCTCTCATGCAGCGTGCTATTGTGTTGGCCACCCGTGCGTCAGTGTCTGGCCTAGTTTGCCCTTAAAATGGACTGACGTACTGGCTGCACTGAAGGGCACGCGGGCCTTGTTAAGCAAATGAATCCAACCGGAGGGCGGGCGTGAACGTTCTGCTTCATGCCACGCTTTGCCCCGCTGTCGTTTCCCATATCTCAGCGGAATTATCTAAATACCTATTCCAAATTTTTAAAAAATGGAGACTTTTAAACTGATTTCATGGTGACGATCGTAAAGGTCACGGGCGGGAAAGGAGAGAAAAAAAAAAAACTCTCCAGGCGGGAATCTTATTTCGGATATGACTCACTGTATACTGTAAATCAAGGGTGTCAACTTTCTGTGCTCCAAAATTCAATTTTTGAAACACAGATGGGCCAGCAAATTGTAGATGACATGAAGCCGACATGTAAGATTGTTTATTTTCGTCGTGATTTTTTTTTTTTTTTTTTTCGTGATTTATACTTTTCAGTTTTGGTGTATTAAAAAATAGGAAGACATAAAACATTTAGCTCCATACATATAACATACAATAGTGGAGTGGGTCAAATGTGGCCCGTGGGCCTTACTTTGCCCACATCTGCTCCCTGCAGCCCTTGTCGTGCAAAACACACATTCCAATTGTGCAGCCATTTTTCCACCTCCTATGTAAATATTCCACTCGACGATTACGTGACGTGCATACGCATTAAGTGGGGACATCTGTTTGAAGCCCTCGAGCCTTCCAGAAAGATGTGCGGGGTGTCGTCGAGGTGATTGGCTCCTCCTGCGGCAGAATACCAAATGATCGGCCCAAGAACAGGGAGCCGCAACGAAGGCTTGCGGTCGTTCCCTCTGGGTCGCGTTGTCCCAGCACCCCAAATTGACCTCATATTCATTTTTAATTTTTAGTGTGTTCCAACAGCAGAAAGTGACTGAAATCAATGTTCCTAGCCCGGCACGGCCACCTTTGTTGTGACCTCAAAAAGTCGACGCCGCTCCAAACAAACAAAACAAAGTCATTCATTTTGTAGCATCAATTCAAAGCACAATCTGGAACATTGTTAGGTAAGCAAAATGGACAGTTTTTCTAGCACTTCCTGCGTTATGCTATTCCGCATGACAAACGGTTGATGTAGTGACAAGTACGCGGTAATGTTAGCCAAGGAACATCATGTCGAACACTGTGTTGGTGCTGCAAGTAATGGTTCATGCTAATGAGGCACTCTAAAGGGGACGTCAACCCCAAAATTTTCATTACCAGATGTTCTTTGCAGCCCCACTAGTGTAAACACGACATTCTGATTCATGTTGCATTTTTGGAATGTCCAATCCACCCATTTGTGCCCAGTTCAGGGGGCGGCCATTTTGACGATTGCCGTTGACTGAAAATGACATCACGCGGATTTTCAGTCAAAGTGGATTTTTTTTTTTTCCTCCTCTTTGTTGTTGTGCCGGGCATCACCTCCATTAATAATTGATTTGCAGTGTTGACACATGGGCTGTATTCTGTTTTCTCTGCAGGCTTTTTTTTTTCTTTTTTCTGTGCGTTCATCTAGCGTCATCTTGATACGAGCCGTCATCTTTATCGCCAAGGTCAACCAATTGCTGATGGCTGTTTTCATGACTGTCAGGCCCGGGTCCTTGCACCCGCTACGCCGAGTGGGATTGATGAGGATTTAGTGGTCGTGGAGGGCGCGGGGGTGACAAACTTGACAGGGCGGCGGCGTTTTGCTGAACATTCGCGGCCAGGAAAAATGTCAGAATGAAAGGTTATGCTTTGACAACTGGATTTAAATAAGACGTACAGCAACAAGTCGATGCAAAGCTAGCAACTTTATTGGTTCATTCAATGAAGTGACCAGAGCCGTAATGTTTGCACAAACTCCATTTGGATTAATATATGCTATGGATATAAAAAGTCTACACACCCCTGTTGTAATGTGAGTTTATATTAAAAAAAAAAAAAAAAAGGATTAACCATTTGAAAACTTTTTCCACCATTGTGACCTATAATCTGTACAATCAGATTGAAAAGTAATAAAAGTCATGATGTTGCACAAGTGTGCACACCCTCTTCCAAGTGGGAGGTGCCTGTGTTCACAATCAACCAATCACACACGTGCCACCCATTAAAGCGTCTCATATTAATGCACAAACCTCCATTTGGATTAATATATGCTATGGATATAAAAATTCACCCCCCCCTGTTTTAATTTGAGTTTTTATTAAAAAAAAAAAAAAAAAAGGATTAACCATTTGAAAACTTTTTCCACCATTGTGACCTATAATCTGTACAATCAGATTGAAAAGTAATAAAAGTCATGATGTTGCACAAGTGTGCACACCCTCTTCCAAGTGGGAGGTGCCTGTGTTCACAATCAACCAATCACACACGTGCCACCCATTAAAGCGTCTCATATTAACCGCAAATGAATTCTAGATGCTCTACTAGGCTTTTCCTGACTTTTGGTGTTGTTTTGCTTCCTTTGCAGAAGCCTGAATGTTTTATGGCCTCGATGTTACACCTCAGTGACGCCGTGCTGTGTCCTCCCATGCTGTTCTGTCCATTTACACGTGTGGGAGGTAGGTATAAAAATCTTTACTTGAGACCTCATCGGGGCAAGGTAGCGACATATACTGTGTGACATTGTCCGTTGCCTGACCTCTTTGCAAACAAGGTCCCTTGCGCAGTCTTTCTTCCACAGCATTTTTAGAATTAGGCGGAGAGACTTGGTTTAGTTTTACACTTAATGTGTGGGCAGACACTCTACACACCCAACTGCAATGCTACCTTCACTTAGGCATGCTCCAAATTACAAGCCATAAATTGCCTATAAAACTGCAAAGCCCAAGCTGTCGAATACTGATGGCCACACGTTTGTCCAAATGATCCCTAAAACGAAAAAGGAAATGTATAGCGACTTTTCACACACCCCCAGAGTTCTCTGACGTGCACTATATTTTCATTCCATCATACCATCGTAAACCTTTAAAGCCCCTTTTAACCTTGACTGTCATTGCTTTGTGCGAGATTTGTGGTTTTCGTTCTAATTGTTTATCAGGGTGCTTCTCATTCAGCCAGAGACGTAGATCCATAACAACGTAAAGCCGCAGTCATCCGTCAACCTAAATGACGTCTCGACTCCCAACAAGCATACGAGTCACATGCAGATCTGTGCTTTGAGCTTTACTCAGTGAATGAGGAAATGGCAGAGGAATAAAAACACGAGGCTCCCTTTTTTTTTTTTTTTTTTTAATGCAGCATTAAACCCCAGCCGATTAGATTTGGACCGCAGACTTCTTGTCCAGACTGCGGCACTTTCTATATTCGAGCTCTGACATCCCTGCTTAAATCTATTGGCCATCAAATTCTTATTTTAGCTCAATCATCCAGTAAAGTCGCAGAAAATGAACATCCTTTTTTTTCTTGTTATACTTCTTTCACAATAGTTCCAATAGAATGCGGTTTTATTTTGCTGGAACCTTTTCATTGGTTGGACTGACCCCTTGCCTCACACAAAATCTTCATAATTCATCTTTTGTGGGAATTCTTTTGGGTAAACTTCTTTTCCGACACAAAGCGCGGTCCATTAAAAAAAGCTTGACTGAGTTTATTGTGCAACAACCGCATCGAGAATGAATTAGGTGGAGAACTAACAGTTGTACTGTTAGAATTCGACCATTTTTCGGAAAAAAAATCCACCTTTTGTGTCCAAACTGCCGTCACAATGCCACCTTTTTGCCTTTTTGTAGTTTGCCTCAATGTCGTTAAGAGAAAAGTGAGAAACTCACTGGTATGGAAAGTTGTATGAACATTTTCTTCCACCCCCCACAATATCCAGTGTATCTTGTAAGACAATTAAGCACATGACTGCATCTTCCCAGTGAAGTATTTTTTTTCTCCCCCACCCACGAGCAGTGCCACTTTTGGCCTATTAGTGCAGATAGTACAGATAAATGTCGAGGGTAGCGAAAAATGCTATTGGTTTCCAGAGACTCGATTGCTCCAATATGCCAAAAATGTTTCCACACTCTGTTTGAATCAAGTTTTGGGTATGATGTTCGACTTTGGTGACCGTGAGGAGTTAGGGTGTTTCGACACTGCGAGCGGCTACTCACGACTGCGACTTTGTCTCGAATTTTCGAACCATATGTTTTTTTTTAAGGGCTATCCCAAATTTCCGTTAGTTCGTCTCTTTCGTTTGACATCAAATTTTAACCTTACGTGAAGGGGACTTTCTTTTGACAAAATGATGCGCTTTGTTTGGTCAGCGTTTTGAAATACGGCACATTTAATGAAGTAAACGTTTAAGTTTAAGTTTGTCTTGGACAAGCATTATCACAAAGCCACGTCCCCTCCCGCCCCCCCAAAAGTAATCATTGAAGTGATGACGGCTGAAGCCCACAGAGATAAACTGAAGATTTTTAAAATTCTACTCCTGTCAGGTTATTTATGACTGCTGGATATGCGAGCGTAAAAAAGAAAAAGAAGGGAAAAAACACACTGTACGACTTTTCCGATAAGCTGTCTTCTTACTTGATATCATTAGAGTTTGTTTCGACTGGCGGGCGCTTCCCACGTGGTCCCGTTTCTTATCTGAGGGCGGCAGCTTGAATGTTTGATCCCTCTGATGTTCTATCACCTTCAAGGCAAGTCGACAAAAAAGAACGACAGCGGTTTACAGCTTTCCCAAATGATGACACCGCGCGTCCTCCGGCCTCTTCTCCAAATCTCCAAAAGTGCGGAGAACCACCCCGAGAGTGTCCCTTAGTGGTGTATTTGATGTTAGTGACTCATGAATAATTTGTCGTTTTGAAAAAGAGATGAAGACTGTCTGTTAGACAAACCAACAGGAGGAAAAAAAATAAATCTACCTCATCTGAATTGGGAGTACTTTGTTGACCGAGATGATTGAATTTTTGCGGCATGTCATCTTTGCTCAAAGCAGCGTGGGTGCCGCTTTTTGGGAACCGTCGCAAGCAGGGGGATTTTTTTTTTTCTCAGTGTTTCGGAAAGCGCGGCGCACGGACCTGATGGTGTCGCAGCACATCACGGAGGAAAATGACTCTTAAAATCACCCGGTACACCTGGATAATTGGCCAGCATCCGGATAATGGCCCAGCATAATCTCTGTCGAGACATCTGAAAATTTGGCTTTTGCTAACTGTTTTCCTGACAAATTAATGATGGAAAAATCACCCACCTCACCACAGATCAAAGTATAATTACTCTGAATAATCTTTTAAGAGACATCCGATAATTGAGCTTTGATCCGGACGGATTTTACCCCCATAGAGTTTCTTGCTCAAAGTTGGCACTGACCACAAATCGTAAATGTTGAAAATATTTCAAATTTAAAACTGTTAGGTTGACTATTTTGTGAGCAATTTGCGGTGGATAAAAAAATCACTTTTAATACAGGATAATCGCTCCGGATAATCTTTTCCAGAAAACCGATAATCGGACCTTTGCTGACTTGGATCGAAGGAGGAGTAAAATGGATAAATTCTGACGGATTTTCCGTATGCGTGAACTAGAGATGCAATGATTAATCGACATCTTATCGATAATCAAATTAATTTAGGATTTTTAAAATCGATTAATTGTGTGGAACCTTATTTTTAAAATGAATGCTCAGGATTTCAGCTTCATAATGAATATCTGATTTCTGGAGAACCAAAGCATTTCCTGGGACTTCAGAAGATGATGATCAACATTTTTGCCAAATTTTCTGAGATGTTGCGGATTAAATTAGTAGCTGCTTAATTAATTTATATATCAAAATAATGTTTTGCTTTCGGTTAAAGGGATGAAAATCAACATGTTTTAAAAAAAATCTGATTCATCAGCAAAGTAATAGTCATAAATTGATTCATATGACTATATTTCTTACAAATTGGGGAGGAAAAATACCTCGTAACATTCTCTGCACCACAGGATAATCTTTTACAGACACGTGATAAGTGGTTTGATGACTTTGACCGAAACAGAAGAACAAAACCGCTCAAATTGGGTGCATCTGGATGACAAGAAGCTGGTGTTGCTGGCTTCCGTCCTATCTACGCGTTCACGCTTGCACTCGCATTGTCAGATAATCCGATGCAAATCCAATTTTTATTTGGAAAAGGCCTTATTCTGATCCAAAGATATCAAAATTTTCCTCTTTGCGCTTCCACGAGCCGTATCCTAATTGTGCCACTGCAGAAGGAACAAAAATGTGGAATTGTGTCACTTGAAGCATGCAGTATAAATCCAGCCAAACCTAATCCAGAGTTCTGGACTGTCACCGTGCCACCTGGGGGGGCGCAACCTGCAAATTCTTCATTGTCACGTTCCCCCTCCAAAAAAATGTGTCGCCATTCTTGGATAGCCATTACTTTCTCAAATGAAGTACATGACAGTGCGCCTCGTCGAAGCGAGCTGGTAAAGCGACGTGGCGAGATTGCATAAGCAGTCACGCCCCGCAAACTAATCTGGCAGTTTGATATCCACCATGATGCTCCAGTGGAGGAGATTAATACTCCTCCTGCTCGCACACAATAGCGGACGTAAGGGAAGTGCGTTAATGGGTGCCAACCATCTCAATCACGGCTGCGGCATCAATCTCACTCTTACCACCTCGACATCTTAATTGGCACGCAATCACGTGCGGCTTGGATAACAAAAACATTGTGGGATCAGTGAGGGGAAACAAGCAGGTATACGAATGCAAATGTGTTTAAAAAAAAGATGCAGACACTAAGCGAAAATGAAATTCTAAACAGATGTAATTCTCGATCCCAAATGGAATTTCTGCATTGTTATTCATTGAAGGCATGCCCGGATTAAGGGAGTCGCCTCTCCCGCAAACTCGCAAAAAGCCAACAGCGATATATTGCCATTTAAGCCAATGAAGGTGCAATGATGTCGGCTGGGTTTTATTTCTGCAGATGGACACCCAACATACACGTATCGATAATCAAATTAATTTAGGATTTTTAAAATCGATTAATTGTGTGGAACCTTATTTTTAAAATGAATGCTCAGGATTTCAGCTTCATAATGAATATCTGATTTCTGGAGAACCAAAGCATTTCCTGGGACTTCAGAAGATGATGATCAACATTTTTGCCAAATTTTCTGAGATGTTGCGGATTAAATTAGTAGCTGCTTAATTAATTTATATATCAAAATAATGTTTTGCTTTCGGTTAAAGGGATGAAAATCAACATGTTTTAAAAAAAATCTGATTCATCAGCAAAGTAATAGTCATAAATTGATTCTTATGACTATATTTCTCACAAATTGGGGAGGAAAAATACCTCGTAACATTCTCTGCACAACAGGATAATCTTTTACAGACACGTGATGAGTGGTTTGATGACTTTGACCGAAAGGGAAGAAAAAACCGCTCAAATTGGGTGCATCTGGATGACAAGACACAGGATAATCTTTTACAGACACGTGATAAGTGGTTTGATGACTTTGACCGAAACAGAAGAACAAAACCGCTCAAATTGGGTGCATCTGGATGACAAGAAGCTGGTGTTGCTGGCTTCCGTCCTATCTACGCGTTCACGCTTGCACTCGCATTGTCAGATAA